TATGAATCTAAAAGTTAATTAAATAAGTCTTTTTGAATGCTTATAAGTTTTTAATAAGCTTTAATCAATATTTCACTTCCATAATCAATATAAAGAATATGTTACTAATTATTGTAAAAATCAATTAAGGTTTATTTATTATTAGCAACAGCATGAGTATCAAAAAATTAGGGGTACTTAGCTATTATTATATTTTTTTAGGTTAAAAGAGATTTCATTCCTTATTCATAGTGAGGAATCATTTCAGGATTTAATTAGATAGCATCAGTTAATGAACAATCAATTCCTATTTCCTATTTGCAAATTTTTTCTTCATTTAAAAAATTAAAGTTATTCTATAATGATTAATCAACAAAAGTTGAAAACAATTAGTTTTTATATTTTTCAAAAAAAATATCAGTTGTATTATCACTAAGAACTGCAGAGTACATTTAAAATTAAGAGATGTAATCCCACCATTAATATTGCGATTTTAATGATAACTTTAATAAATTTACTTAATTTTATCTCTCAATTATCTTCTATAACCTTTTTCTGTATTTAGTAATTATTATTCATTAACTACTAATTCAACAACAAATATTTATTATTTCTAATCAACTTCATTTTTTCTATACCGAAATTCTTCATAAGTAACTGAATACATAACTGGAACAGGATGAAAATCTTTCAATATATCTTGTATATCTATCTTGATAGATTCTTTCTGCTCTTGTTTTTAATTACTCACTATCTTCTTAACTATCATCAGATGATTATTTTTCTTATATTGATTATGGAGAGGATGGTTTGGCTTAATGTTTCGTCATTTCAGATTATTTTGTTTAAGCTAAATTAAGTGTTTAATGTCTTTTTAAATGTTCATCATAAAAAAATATACACATCATCTCTCATTGAATATCGTAACAGCATTAAATTGATCAATTTCTTGATAATCATTTTTTTAAGATTTATATGAGCTTCCAGATGAAAAATTATTTGATTAAACTCTTACTTCATCAACTATTTTTTAAATTATTTTTTCGTATTATTAAATAAATAAATTAATATCTTCAGGAATAAATAAATATGTTTCTTTATTTTAAACTAAATGATTACTATTATCTAAATCAATCAGATTTTGATAACGACTTTTTGGAGGTACTTATCTATTCATCAAAAATTCTATTCCAGTTGATTCTATTTCTCTAGAAATAAATGGTAAAATCATCCAAATTAAGACTTTACTATAAAAATCATCAATTGATAATACAACATTTGACCATTTTTAATCAAATGCATTATAACTAATCATATACATTTAAATTTACCTCTTAGATTCTTAAGAAGAATTATCTGACCTTGATATTTTATTGCTTTATTTAAACTCATCTGCTTCATGATATGTTCCTCTATTAACTACTAATCTCTACATTTTTTCAATCATCTTATATAGACCTCTAGTTATTCCCATAATATTTCCATTTACATCAAATAATATATGTTAATATCCTTTAAATGCCACATTTTTCAATCGTTTACCATCTTCTCCAATAAACTTCGGTTATTCTTCTTCTAATGATTTTAAGCATCCAATCATTGTAAAATCATCTTCTAGTTCTTAACTAAAATTATGAGCTAAATAGACTTGACATTTTATTAGTGTTTTATCATACAATTTAGCAAAAGTCTAAAAATATTTACCAATTCTTGCTGTTACTCCTCTTCTAATATAATTTTACATCATTTCATCATGAACTGGCTCCAACCAAGCAGGCATTAATTAATTAATATTTCCTTTAGTATAATCTAAAAATGAATTTAGTGGATGCTAGAAATGACCAAATCCAAAAAATTTTGGAATCAATGGGGAAATCACCTTGTTCATCACTTTTCCGATATTTGGTCCAAATGCTATACAAACTTTTACAGAAATGGCTTCTCCCTTAAAAAAATTGATATTTGTTATTTCAAATGTATTCATATTTTTTTCAAACGATAAGATTTCCTTACGTTCTATTAAATAATATTAAATTTCATTATTTACCTTTTTCCATTTCAAAATACTTTCTTAAATTATTAAATAAAAGTAGATTTATCAAAGCATTGAACTTTAAAAATTAAACATTGTAGGTTCTACCATTATGATAAAAAATTGGTTAATATACGTCCAACTAAAGTATCACTGCATCTCGCAATTACTATAATTTTCTAATTTCTTATTCGATCTGAGAATATTCTGTAAATTTGCCCTCTTTAAATGATTTCCAAAATTATTATTTAAATTAACTTATTGAGAATAATAATGGCATGATATTGTTTTTAACTTATTCCATTTAATATAAATCTTACACTATACTATGTTCACTCTTACTTACTTATAATTTCACATTAGATACTCTTGTATCCTTATTCATATTGTAATCTTCATCTTTTCTTAATTAAGCCTACAATATTTATTGTAATACAAGACACATTTATACAAAAAAAAA